GAAGAAACCAAGAAAGAATTCAAAAAAAAAAAAAAAAAAAAAAAAAAAAAAAAAAAAAAAAAAAAAAAAAAAAAAAAAAAAAAAAAAAAAAAAAAGGAAATCTATGGTCTTAACTAAAGAGATCTACTGTTAAATGAAGGTCCCCACAGCATGATTGAACAACAGAACAAAAAGTTTTCCATTAAAAAAAAAAAAAATCTCTACTGCACATGAAAGGGAGACAGTTTGGGATGGCAGTATAAATGTCCTTGTTTACTCTCCCTGACTTCAACACCTTGTTTAACAAACCCTGCATAGCGATGTCTCGGACCTTTCCAGAGCCCCTCTGCATTTTCTGAATCTTTTCATCACCAAAGTCTTCTTGACGCATCTGTGTGATCATTTTTTCTTTGTTACGGATCCCCACACACTGTAACCAATGACAGTCTGAACCAGACCATGGAGAGAATCGAAACAACAGACAGATTAAAATTTCAGAAGTCTTTCAGAAATGCCAAAAGGCCTCATGTAGAACTGTGTTGCTAGAAAACATATTGGAAAGATTAGTTCATAGTAATTTATCCTCCTCTTTATCCTTAGACCCACAAAGCAATCTGTATAAAATCCATAAACATATTCAACTAATGCATTCACAGCTACATTGTAAAGTATCATTGCTTTATGCATTCAGGTAAATGAATAAAAATAATTCCTAAAGATTCAGCACAGTCATTCATGAGCTCCATGGGTAAAATCTACAGGAGTGACTGAACTCTGGACCTCTACAGAAATAAACTGAAATAATACAAGCAACAATTAATGCAGCAGAGATACTATAATTTCTAGCCTTTCTCATCCTGATATTTTATGCCTATGTCTACTAACATTTTTAAAAATGGTGCACCAGTCAAAACTACTATAAAGATTTTCAGCAAACCCATCTTTCTATCTATCCACAGATCAAATACAGCCTTTCCAATCACCGAGGTAGTTTTCCACCAAAAAATGAAAAATGTTTTCACCTTTCTGACTTTCTTCTAACTTAGAAAAAATATCTAGACCCAAAGCAGTGCCTACTATCCACAGGAAAATGTGCAGACAAGTGCCTCAGCTCCCTCCACACAGCATAAAAAAGCATAAATACCTTCTGTAGGTACTTACAAGGAGGATTCAACAATGGTCAGATTGTTGGGGGGATTCAGCGGTAGTCAGTGAATGTACCAGAGCTGGGAGTTTCCTAAAGTCATCAGGCTGAGCTGGAAATCCCTGATTTAACTAACAGGATTTGCTGAGTACAAGATGGGTCTTAGATTCTACACCTTTCTGTGGGACTTAATCCACCAAAGAAGGAAGAATTTTTTTCTGCTCAAATGGTTTGGGCTGACCTGGTCAAATGACAGCCAGAAATTATCCACTCTTCCTCCCTTTCCCTCTATCACTCTAGCTACACATTCCCATTGCTTCTCTTTAATGCAGAACGAGTGGTTGGATTATACTTTGGGTACTAGATTCAGCCCACTACATTCACTCTGGAAAAATGTAAATACTTTTCCAGTAGCTGAGATGGCTGGGCTGGCTCAGAAAGAGATCAGCTGAGCACTGAATCAAGGCAAGGACAGGAGGGCATGGAGGACAAGCAGGAAGAATAATTTTAATTGCCTCTTCAAATCAGTCGGATATAAATCTTTTATCTCTAAGGAATGGTTCTAACAACCACCAGCTACACTGGTTAGAAGGAAGTTGATGTTAGTACTGACACGTGCAGATTCCACCATGGGTCAGTCATTATTCCTGTGACAAGAGGCTGTGAAAACAGTTTTGTCAAATCTTCCTTAGCAGGAAAGATGTTCTCAACACCAGGCAACTCTGAAATGGAAATTATAGTTTCAATTTAAATGATAGTCTTGCAAAATGACATGCTACACAGCAGAATCCTGACTTCCTCCCCTTTATGTAGGTATTAAGTCTGCCATCTTCAAGGAATTCTCTTGAAAGCAAAGAATGGATAACAATCAGAACTAAAGGTCCTTTATCTGTCAGCCGGCAAAAAACGGCAATTATGAGGAGAAAATATTCAAAACATGAAAACATTGACAAGTCTAGGCTGGAAGGGCAGATGATCTGGTCCAACCTCTTATTCAAAGCTGGGCCTTAGACTCAGCTGTGTCTTGAATATTTCCAGCCAAGGGGATTTCTCCACTTCTGTGAGCAAGTAATTGCATTTTGCTGTTTTCAGGTTAAAGACTTTGTTTTCTTATATCCACAGGCACTTACCCTTTTTCCTATAGCCTCTTGTCATGTTACCATGTACCCTCATGAAGAATACCTCCTTCCTCTCTCTGACTAGGTATTACTCTGTAGTAACTACTATAACTACTTACTACTCTGTAACTACCTACTACTAAATTGGTAGACACTCACTACCTTCCCAAGCCTTCTCTCCTTTAGGCTGTACAAATCCAGACTCTTAAGTTGTCAAAAGCCTCCAACCCTCAAAGCATCTTGTTGGCAATTCACCAGACCATATCCAGTTTTTCAGACCATAACCAAACTGGGGGGACCAGAACTGTACACAATATTACAGGTGTGTCCTAACAAGTGCTGCATAGAACAATCCCACCCCTTGATCTGTTGACTACACTCTTACTGGTGCAGCCCAGGACACAGTTTGCCTTCATTTGCTTCAAGGACACACTGCTGACTCCTGTTGAGCTTCCTGTTCGTCATGTCCACCAAGGCTGTTTCAGCAGAGCTGCATCCTAGTCAATCAGACCCCAGCCTGTACTGCTGCTTAGAATTATTCCATCCTGGCATGACTTTACATTTATCTTTGATAAACCTCATGGAATTCTTGTTGGCCCAATCTCCCAAACTAAATACTATTATAAACATCTAGTAGTAGAGCATCTTCCTATTCCAGACACACATGAGCTGCAGCCAGCCCCTGGAGGTAATTCACGCTATAGTGTTTGAGAACTTCCAATGAAATAAGCACTGCTGAGTTATTCTATAGGCAGTGTGGAGGAATCTCTGGATGAGTAGCCCTTGTCTTTATGGAATATTTCAACTTCCCAGATATCAACAAACTGCTGAGATGAGAAGATCTAGGAAATTCCTGAAGTTTGTGAGAGATAACTTCTTGTCACAGATACTCAGTAAGACACCTAAGAAAGATGCCCTCCTAGACTTGCTATTTGTGAATAGAGAAAGACTTATGGGAGATGTGATGGTAGGAGGCTGTCTTGGCCACAGAGATCATGAAATGGTTGAGTTTAAAATTTTCAGTGATACTTGTTGAAGATGGTCACCTGACTAGTAGGCACAAAGAAAAAGCAGAGGCATTTAAGGTGATTTTTGCGAAGTCTTTAATAATAATGGTAGACCTTGGGCTGCCCAGTCCCCTGAGTTGGAGGACCATGAGTGTGGGAACAGTAACTTTCAATTTGTGAACACTGAAATTGTAAGGTAACAGCTGTATCAGTTGAATGTTCACAAGTCCATGGGGCCTGACTGGTTTAACCCCAGAGATATGAAGGAGCTAGGGGATATCATGTTAGAACCTCTCTTGATCATCTACCAAAGGTCTTGGGAGTCTGGGTAGGTCCCTTCTGACTGGAAGCTAGCCAGTGTTATTCCAATCCACAAGAAAAGTGTGAGGGAAGACCTGGGGAACTACAGACATGTCAGTCTAATCTCATTACCTGGAAAAATTAAGGAGCAGATCATACTAGGTACTACTGAAGGGCACTTCAAGACCAGTGCAATCATTAGTCACAGTTAAAATGGTTTCACAAAGGGAAGAAAGTCCTGTTTAATCAATTTGATATCCTTTTACTGTAACATCATCTGCCTAGTGGATGAAGGGAAGGCAGTGGATGTAGATTTTCTGAATTTTATTAAGTGTATTAATACTGTCACCCTGAGGGTGCTGGTGGGCAGCAGCTCAGTGTGAGTCAGCAGTGTGTGCCTGGGCAGCCCAGAGGGCAAACCACGTCCTGGGGAGCATCAAACACGGCATCACCAGCCAGTCAGAGGGAGGGGAACATCCCACTGTGCTCATTGTTAGTGTGGCCTCACAAGGAGTGCTGGGTGCAGTTCTGAGCCCCACCATTTCAGAAGGGTGTGAAGGTCCTTGAATGCTCCCAGAGGAGTGTAAGAAAGCTGGTGGAAGAGCTGGAAGGCACGTGTTGTGAGGAGCAGCTGAGGACTTTGGGCTTGTCTGGTTTGGAGAAAGGGAGGCTGAGGGGAAACCCCCTTGCTCTCTGTAGCTTTCCGAGGAGAGGAAGAGTAGAGGGAGGTGCTGATCTCATCTTCCTGGAATCTAGTGAATGGGCACGTGGGAATGGTTCAAAGCTGCGTCAGGGGACATTAGGAAATATTTCTTTTACCAAGAGAGTGGCCAGACTGAAACAGGCTTCCTACAGAGGGGGTCAGTGCCCCAAGCCTGTCCATGTTTAAGAGGCATTTGGACAATACCGTTAATAACTGGCTTTAACTTTGGTCAGCCCTGAAGCAGTCAGGGATCTGGGCTTGGTGATTGTTGTAGGTCCCTTTCAACTGAAATATTCTATTCTATTCTATCCTATTCTATTCTATTCTATGCTATTCTATTCTATTCTATTCTAATTTTTAGACACAGACTAAAGGTTCAGATAAGAGAAGTAATTCAGTACCTGTTCTCTTGCTTATCAGTACCCCTCATTCCCAGATACATTAGGGAGTAAAAAGATTTCTAACTCAGCCCTTTGTAAAATAATAACCCATTACCCCCTTTTTTTCCCCTTTGTTTGTAAAATCAAAGAGGGCATAAAAAAACATTTGACAAACAGCAGTTGATCAGGATAGAAGAATGTATAGTTTTACCTTTTACAGAACTCATAAATAGATTTATGTGTGGGCCATGTGATATGGGCTGGGCAAGCAGTTGTTCCTGCTTTGTGAGGCAGAGTTCAAGATTCCTTTGCTCCGCAGGAAAAAAAAAAACAAACCAAACACCAAACAGAATTTTCAGGGCAGTTTCTCTCATTAAAGTAAAGCAGACCAAACAGACTCGACACAGGTAAGCACTCCCCCACTGCTCACTCCGCCTTCTTTCCTAATGAGTTTCCTGCTTTTGTGGGACAGACCGAGAAGAGCTGCAAAAGAGTAGAAGGTGCGTGATCGTCTGGAAATTGCTTTGGATTCAGAACCTGGAAAAAGGAGATTCTACTTTCCCATGCAGAATTCTTAAAATGGGATCTTCTCATTGTTTGGTACCTTCCCATGTTCAGTAGTTTCCAACTTTTATTTTCAAAAGAAATCTTCATTGTTTTCCTACAAGAAGCTCTAAAGGAGGAAGGGAGAGTTGTAACTGGTGTCCTATTCTTGGGTCAGAACGGGAAGCAGCAGTGCACATTATCCCTTGTGATGAAGAGAGAAGTTAAACCATGACTGCTCGTACCTACCAAGACCTCTTTCTGGTAAGTATATGCTGAAAAAGAATGTGTTTCTTTTGCATGTATACATTTAACTATTTTTGCTGTAACAAGGGGACACATTTAATGTGTGGAAGTTCATAATGTAACATGGAACTATATAAAACTGTATATTTGTTTGGAGATACATATTCATAAAAAATATGCCCCTTGTGTCATGCTTTTTTCCTTCAAAGGAGTCTTCATGAAAACAGTGGGATGTATGTAGGTTAGCAGAACACATGGAAGACAACTCCTTAATTATGGTATTCTTGAATACCACAAATCCCCGGTATTCATTCCATATTGACTGTACAATAGTGAAACTGTAGTGTCTTTCACTGAGATGGGGTTTGGAATGCAGGACAGGAAGGGCTCTCATGTTTGAGAATGGTGCAAAAATAAGCACATCAACAGAAAAAGAACTGAGGATATAGGCAAATATTCAAACTGTGCCTGCACTTTACAAAAACACACATACCCTAGCTGTATCCAGAACCTAAAATAACGTTATTGCTATAATGCTACACTGAAGTTAGATGCTCAGTTTACTGGGGCTGACAGGCCCATTAAATAAGGCTGCTTTTCTTCCGGGATCTGAACGAGTATTTGAATGTTCATTATGCAATGTACAAATGTCCTAGAATTAACCCTTAAAGTTATTCTGTGTTTCACTTTCACGGTAATCTCAAATCTGCATCCCAGACTGCTCTCTTAAGCCAGATCTTTTTAGATAATGCCTGGCAATAAGTGCTTGGGGTCTATTTATGTATTTCATGTCTTCCAACTGTGTGTCCAAGCATTCCCATTATTCAATATGCATTCACACAGGAAATTCTAGTACATTTACACTGGTGTGCATTTATGCGGATTTCCCAGACTTATTATGTATGTGCATAGTTCATGTTCTCATGTCTTTTGCTGTAGTATGTATGTTCTTACTTTGGTCATGATACTTCTAATGTATTTATATTCTCATGTTTCATGTTGAAAAAAGTGTTCCATCTTCCACAGATGTCTGTCCCTTTAACTGCTCATCTGTTCTCAACTACCTGCTACCACCATCTATACTACCATGTGGTTAGAGACACGCTGGAAGAACATCCGTCAAACCTTGCTGCTTCTTTTCACTGCTGCTCTTCTCATTGGGGTCACCCTGCTGGCCATTTCATCTAACATCAACCCAGTAGGCTATTTCTTTCTAGGGGTTGGGGGAGTGTGCCTGGTCGGCTATTTGCTGAGTGTGTTTGTTGAGTGTTACCTGAGGAATCAACACCGACATGATACAAATGAAATACCTCCAAACAGTCGAAGCCAAGCAGGGTAAGCAGCAACCTGGTTATTGCTCTTTAATCCTCTCACCTCAGTCATGGACATTTTACATACTGTTTTGCTGCCCTTCCCCTGGGGCAACAAACACAGACTCCATTCCCAAAGACAAAAGTTATTTTCAGGTTGTTTTCCTTCATTCTTCAGGTGGAGGTTGCAAATATCTATGCCACGCATCTCCTGTATCTTGTACAATATGTGTTTTCTTCCCCCCGGAAACTGATTCACTAAAAATTTCCAAGGTTAAACAGATCCAGGCCCAGTTTTATTTTACTTTGAGTAATCGAGGCTTGCCAAACAATGACTCAGACAAGGAAAAGGAAAAAACACTGAAGCAATACTGAATCTTATTTGGGTTTAGTTCTATAAAACTTATCTCTAGAGCAACTGTTCCTTGGCGAACTTTTTAAAAGAAACCTATAAGTGAGTCTGTTTCCAGTCATAAAATCCCAATTTGTCACTAATAAATCCTGATTTTGAGAGGCTTCTTTTTGGCTTTGTGTACATTTGCAAGTTCTTAGTATCACCTAATTTAACCCCTGTTTGCCTCCTATAGTTGACAAGTTTGACTTTATTTTTATCTTTGCTTCCTTGTATAATCCAGGTAATCATTTTCCACGTCCATAAATGACTTAACACTCTCAAATACAGGGCCTGCAGAAGGGGAAAAAATGTTACTATGTGTGGATTTTTAGAAAGACTACATAAAAAGAAGTCTATATTGGGCTCCGCTAGCTTGGGGGCATACTAGAAGAAAATTAGTATCCTTATATTTAAAAATATGATCTGAAAAGGAAAATGTTCCTCAAGTAGCATTTTTTCTTTGCAGATAATTCTTCTCAACACAGAACAATTAGTCCTTGTTTAAATGAAATGAAAATACTAATTTTCTCCAGTTCCTAAAAAGAGATGAACATTGAGCTAATGTATTAAAAAAGCAAGGTCCTGTTTTATTCCAAGAAATAATCAGTAGTAGTTAATAATTCTTAGTAATAAATTTTAACTGGTAGGAGATTTTAACTGAGGGACATCAAGCTAAGCCTAGGACACTAAACTGAACAGTGTGGGTCACTTCACTTATTCTGGGGAGTGTGGGAAAATGGTCAGATGAGCCATTCTCTATACCAGTAAGCAAGACATTAAGTTGGCTGGACAAGTGAACTGATCTAGGGGCAGAATACCCCATACAGCAATACCATGTGAGATACCCTGTCTCAGTCCCATCTGTTTGTTGATTGTAGCATATCCTGTAGTACATAATCCGTA